TTAAAATATGAAATTTCGATGATATTATGTGAAAATATGAGAAATAAAAAGAGAGAGAACTTTCATAGTTCGAACTCGTTCGAGAAAAATTCGTATTTTAGCACGTAAATTAATTTAAGATTGAACGATAAAAAACACAAGATGTGATAACAATAATAAAATTAGACAAGAAGAGAAATAAATTGTATATATATATATATATAAATATAAAATATTAATTTCTCTTTCCCCTTTCTCCCTTTCTCTTTTTATTTCTTTTTTCGTTTTTGTTGCGCGAACTATGATATTACGAAAAAGTGAGAAATAAAAGTACTTGCTATGGTTTAAAGTGAGAAAGAGAGGTAAGGAAGAAGGATCCGGTAAAGATAGTCGAGAGAAATTCCCAAGGGTGGTTGGTGCAAGGGTGGTACAAATCCTGGGGTAGTTAAGGCGTCTTAAGCGTCCTGTATATATTCCTCCAATTTTGCACGAACGAGATGTAATTGGGTCTTGCTTTCCCGACCATTCCTACTTGCACGAATAGAGGGATAGAGGGAGAGGGAGAAAAAGAGAGAGAGAGAGAGAGGGAAAGAGAGTGGAAGACAAAGAGAAAGAGAGAAAGTCACGTAGATAGAAACACGTGGAAGAGAGGACCTCTTTCTCTTTCTCTTTCTCTTTCTCTTTCTCTTTCTCTTTCTCTTTCTCTTTCTCTTTCTCTTTCTCTTTCTCTTTCTCTTTCTCTTTCTCTGTCTCTATCTCTTTCTCTTCTTCGTTGTAAGTATCGTGTTCCTGGTTATCCGCAATGACTTTCAAGTCTACGGATTAAAGCGTTCGGCGTGTGACTAGGAAGTTCTAAGAGCAACTGCAAGGAACGATTTTTGATTATGAAATAAAAAATAGAGAGAGAGAGGGAGAGAGAAAGAAAGAGAGAGAAGGAGAGGTGTATCGATCGATTCTTTGATCTATCAAAATCAAACGATATCTTTTCTTATTCTTATCAAATGAATAATTATATTAAATCAAACGCGATAAAATCCTTTTCGTGATTTTTTTTCTTTTATTTGAAAAATCACAAATAAAGGTATCGTATGGATAAACGTGTGCATGTATATACATAGATCTGTCGCGTTAGTTATTTTATTGAAGAAACGTATCTTTAACTCGATTCAAAAGACGTGTCACGTTCTATGCTACGAACCACATCGATTATCCAAATTCTATTTTACGCTCGAATAATGCCTGACCTAACTACTGAGTTAGCTAAATTTAGTTCGACCGACGTATTATTTTTTTCTTTCTCTTGTACTTTTTTTTTGCTCCTTTTTTTTTTTTTTTTACTGTTTTTCTTCTTTCAAAATGCTTTGGTTTTGAAATTGAAGTGAATGAAATCTCAATTGAATGAATATTTCTTTTTCAATAACGCGCCTCTTTTCTCTCTCTCTCTCTCTCTCTCTCTCTCTCTCTTTCTCTCTCTCTCTCTCAAACACACTCCCTTTGACAATTTTTTCTTTTTACGATATTAACAATTATTAACGAAGTTTTGACATTGTTGTTTCGTTGATCATTAAAAAAAAAAAAAAACAGAAACAAAAAAAAACAAAAAAAGAAAAAATAATTATTTCGTATTTATCCTATAAAATATATACATACATATATATATATATATATATTTTTTTTTCTGTCCACAATCAACTTAAAAGCAAATATCTAAGATCGAGTGATTAACTTACGTGGTTGCGGTAAAAAAAGCCCCACGATAAAAAGCTTGAAAAGAAAGAAGCCAAGTACTTGAACTACTTGCGTTATCACGTGCGATAAAAAAGGACAGAAAGATAGAGATAGAGATAAAGAGAGAAAGAGAAAGAGAGAGAGAGAGAGAGAGAAAGATTTTCTGTAAAAAGGAAGAGAAGTAATAGAACGTCTATTCAGAAACCGAGGAAGTAGAGAAAGTAGTCGGAGGTACTTCGATTACGCGGGAAATCCTCATTCAGCGAATGTTCTAATACATCGACCAACGCGACATCAGACGATTTCAATCATTGTATTAAGAAGCTTTAGATTTTGAACTATTTTCATCCGATTCACGGATCTCAATATTACGAGATAATAAAATAAATCATTATCGACATAAGCTACCTAATAGTTAAATGTTCTTTATGAATCCATGAAAAAGCTTCATCCTTGAAATTCTTTGACGTTGAATCGAATCAACGAGTAGGCGTGACGCTTCCCTAACGTTAATTGCGAAAAGTTGTCGAACGATGAAGAAACGACTGCCATCTTTAATGAGAATTTTAATGATCATCGACTCCTCGAGTATGAAAGGTAGAGAGATAAAGAAATAGAGAGAGAGAGAGAGAGAGAGAGAGAGAGAGAGAGAGAGAGAACTCATGTTGGTAATAGAACACGAAAGT